ATTTTTAAAAATAAATAAATTCTAATCACACTTTTCTAGAACTACTCACCTAGGTTATAAAATTTTAAAGTTAAGACTCAAGCAAATATTCCAAATGAATTTTATTGTACTTCTAAAGGGAAAATATGAAGAAAATTCCTGCATATATGACTAACCTTTACAGTTTTCATATTTATGGAATGTATTTGTATTTATGAAAGACTTTGTGATCTCTTTTTATATCACCAATCCTCAGCAGAAACAGTTTTGTACTTACTCACGCTTATTGTTATACTCTCCATTTCAATGACTTTTTTTTTTCTCGGTATAATTTCCAGTGGTTCTTTGTGTCTACAGACCAAGCAAATTTACGTGGATGCTTTGATCATTTCTAGTTAGAATGACGGGCCCGACTCTCAGTGTTGGTTATTTAATTTACTTGTTTATGGACGAGGGAGTTCCTCCCCGTCTCCTTTGCGCATATCTGCTATTTCACCCGAGACTGTGTGATAAAGACACCATTTCAAAAAATATAACTGTTTGATCTAATGCATATGTGCTTATTTGCATAAGAAAGATAATTGAGAATTGACCTCATGTGGCTGCTCAGTAATGTGTTTATTTTTTGTTTTGTTTTGTTCTGTTCTGTTTTAAAGAAAATGATGGGATTGATTTAGCAAAGTGACATATTTCTGTACCATCTCCATCAAATAGCATGTGGGCATTGCTGCGCGGGGGTAGCTTTGGCCAAGCCCTATGGTTTTAATTGGATTTTTTCATGATAACAATGACAGTGGCACCATCCTTTATCTTCACCATCGGAGACAATAACCATACCGCCACGCTGCTTTATGGGGCAATAACGTGGGTTCCTCACTTATCCACTCAGGAGCTGCATTATCACCCCATAAAACAGTGTGATTGGATGATTATCAATTAAACCCTTGCTTGTTGAGACTCTTCCAACAAATTCTCTTCTCCTAAGAGTGATTGGCAGTACCCCCTTCTGTGTGAATTCATGGAACTTGGACAGCCAAGGTGATATTTTTCACACAGATTATCTACTATCTGACTTTTTTTTTTTTTCCTGGAAGGTGTTGGCCAGGACTGAACCCCAGCAGCTGTCCTATATTGTAAGTGGACTGAAACCTTACAGGACCTACAACTTCACTGTCTCCCTCTGCAACTCAGTTGGTTGTGTAACCAGTGCTTCGGGAGCAGGGCAGACGTTGCCAGCAGGTAAGCCAGTTTCCACGGCCATGAAAAATATACTGTGTATTTATAAACGAACACCTACAAAGCTCAACACCTTCTCCCGTTTGGACTTCATATTTGTCTTTTGCTTTCCCCTGCTCCCTCACTCATCCTGATTGCTACTACCTTTGCCTTTTTGACCAGAAAAATAAACAAATGTAAGAGGTGCCTAGGAGTCCTGAGTTGCAGCTGTTGTCATAATAAGAAATAGAAGTAAGTGCAGAGAAGCCCCTGGGCCCAGCCACCATCCCAGGTCCTGGCGATGCCCTGACAGTTGTTAGATGTATTCAGAGGCCTTCTTCTTTTTTTAAAAATTGATTTCAGAGAGGAAGGGAGAGACAGAGAGAGAGAGAGAGAGAGAGAGAGAGAGAGAGGATGGGAGAGAGAAACAGAAACATCAACGATGAGAGAGAACCATTGATCAGCTGCCTTTTGCACACCCCCCACTAGGGATCGAGCCCTGATGGGGAATGGAACTGTGGCCACCTCCTTCGTAGGTTGATGCTCAACTGAGACCCACCAGCCTGGCAGGAGGCTTCTCATGAGGGCTCGGACTATCTCGTCCCTCGGTCTTGACCTTTTTTGTGGGGTGGGTCTACTCATTGCTCTATTAGGGAGCCAGAGGCAGACACCTGGGAATTACCAGGCTGGCCTGCTGGTGGTATATTTTGCCTTTGTTGGGTACAGTGGCGTACTTATTAGTTTATCTAGTATTCATAAGAATGTGCTAAGTTTACAAAATGTAAAGACTTGTCCACTATGATCATAGTAGGAAGTGGTTTGTACATATATTTGCTTGCTTTACTTAGAAAAAAAACCAGACTCAATACAAACAGGATTACCTGTATTATTACCTGGATAACACAATTACAGGGCAGTTAGTCTATTTTCAAATCAGTTTTCCATCAGCCGCCCAACCAGGCTTGGTTTCCTGGGGCTCCTTAAGAAAACGTCCTGCTGTGAGTGGAAAAGTCTCCGACATGAGTGACAGATGGTGCACAAATATTCCGCTACAAAATATTCCCTAGACCCTCTTCCTGTCTTCAGGTCCAGTTCTCGAGTCTGTTGTCTTATTTTGTTTTCATTCTGGTAAACCTCGTTGCGTTCAAATGAATCTCATCCAAGGAATTTGTGTTTCTTCAAATCTTCCATCCATGAGAACGACTCCCAAATTCCAAGAAATTATGTTTTATTATCTCTATGACAGGACTCTGTACTTTTATGTATTTAATCTATAGTCCAGTCATATTTCATCTACATGCATTTCAGCTAGGTGCTCCATGGAATTGAACTTTGAGCTCCTGGTTCATAGGTCAACGCTCAACCACTGACACACCAGCCAGGCTAATAATATATTCTTTATAACATCTCTCCCAAGTGTTTGTCCAACAGTCTGATAGCTTCAGTGGTAGGGCAGCTCCTACCTCTCAGGCAAGTCACACCCCTTCTAAAAGGTGTTTCCTTATATTGATCTGAGCGATCTCCCTGAGGCTTCTATTTAACAGTCTTTTTCTACTCCCTGGGGGGCTGTCCTCAGTCTGTTTCTCTTCCTCATGACATCACTTAGAATAAGTTTTTCCATAACAGTGCCTCTGCCCCAGCCTCCTCTCCTTCAGGCTACATTCCCAGGCAGCTCCCACATGCAGCTCACATGCCTGGTCTCGGGTGCTGTGTGTACAGGCCCTGTCTTCCAGGTAAGACCCTGGCCGGCTGAGTGGAGACGCAAACTAAAGGAACTGAAGGGAGACCTGCCTGTCCCTAGAGACTAGACACCCCCTGGGCCTGCAAAGAGTAAAGCAGGAAAATGGTCCTTGAAACAGAGTCCTCCCCACTCAGTGCAGCCATGATGTCTGTGCTGCCACCACCACAGTGGCTGCAGCCAGTTCTGTGGTTTTTCCTAAAACTTGTCTTGAGATTAGACGTCTGCATGTAGCACAGATATTAAGATATAGAACTCAGCACTGGGAAAGCCAAGCCTTTAGAATAGTCACCAGGTTTGACGTAGGAAAGGACTGAAAGTTGACTTTTACCTGTATGTTGTCTTCTAGTAATAAAATGGCAATTTGGAGTATATATATATTACTCCCGTGAATTCTGGTGGTTTGGGGAAAATTTCACTTGTAAATCTAAATTCAGTTCATATGAGCTTATTATTGGAGATCAAAAGAAGCCAACCACATTTACAAACTTTTTTTAAAAAAAGAGTACCAAAAATCGCAAGTAGTGTCCAGCTAAATCATGGAAATGTGTCTTCCTTAAATCTCAGTCCGATAAATGAGAAAGACACTTGTAAAGATTTATCTGACTGTTTCATTAAAGGCTTGAGAATTATAATTTGCTTTTTTTGTGCTTTAAGTGTGTGTGTGTGTGTGTGTGTGTGTTTCAACCCGATACAAGCTTAGAATTGGTGTGTTTCATTTAGAATATTCCATCACTACTCCTCTAGTTTTCCTGCCAGGGCAAAGGCTGGGATCCCACTTGAGGGAGGGGTTCTCCCTGGAGCTGCTGCTTCTGTCTCCATTGTAAAATCTTCAGGCGATTTGAGCCGTAGCTTTGGAGTTGCTTCCGAGGGCCTGAGGGTAATGAGCTTGGGACTGAACCCTCTTAGAGTCTTTGTTATCCTTGAGAATTACCCTTTTAATGGAGGAAATCTGTACATCTCTATCCTTTGCAAATGAAGTACACTTTAAACCTTTTTTTAAGAGAAATTTCTTTGGGAGATCCGGTCCTGGAGGGACACTGCTCTTTCCTTAGCCGGTCAGAAATTGACCTCTGCACCCCGAGCTCAGATGAACCCATCTCCCATTAAGCAAGTAATTAGTGGTGCATTAAGCTTTTTTCTCTGAATCCAAAGTAAAATGTACAGGCTCTTGGCTGCTGGGTTGAAAACACACATTGTTTTGCATGCAGATACCTAAGTCTTTTCACTGCGAATAGGGCCCAGGGTGATTAAACAAGCACTCTTAATATGTTAATTTATAATTTTAATTACAACAATCTTGTACATATAGTCATTAGTGAATACCAATATAAATATTTTTCTATCTTTTTATTCATAATGCATAAACCAATCATCCTGTTACTTCTGTGAGGTCGCCACTGCTTTTTGTTTCATAATACAATCTTTGTTCTGAGTTATGAATGCATTTGGTTCGCTCCTGTCTTGAATAATCCCTCATTAAGCCAGTCACTTTCAGCTCCACGCTAAAAAGGAAAAAAAATTATCATGCAAATGCGGCGTGCCATATTAAAAAGCACATTACCAAACACTTCTGTTGCTGTCCTTCAATTAGTTTCCCTTCTTTGAATTTAATTCCATTTGTTGTTAAACTACCGACTTGATGTATGGACTCATGAATCTGAGGCTGCTGCCGGGAACCGGGGGAGGGGGAGCGAAGAGCTGCAGAGGGAGCCGGAATGAATTGGCTTCACCTTTGACAAGAACACTCCAACAGCACCGGAATCCTCTGATGATTCAACGGGGCTAATTATCCAATTATTTATTCCAAGAATCCAGGCAGCGCTTTCTTTCGTGAGAGGCGTGGAAGGCAACCGGAGAAATCTGGGAGTGGCAGTTCCTCTTCCGGAGCTGCGAGATTCACAGGATGCTGCCCAGGTGCTCGGGCAGCCCTCCGCATCAGGCAGGGTTCTGGTCTGTTTGTCTGTTTTGCCCTTTCAACACCAGAAATGCCTTTCCAGGTTTCCCCCCCGCACGTCAGATTTCCACAGCTCTTCAGCGATGTTCAAGTTGAATCTCCCTTGATTAAAAGCTTTTGGTTCAGAGCAATACTTTTTAATTGCCTAATGATATAAGTCGGTTCTTCGGCAAGAACCGCACATTTAGGAGTTCATTTGCAATATAACTGAAAAATTCATCGCATGGCAGTAAAACAATTTACTGTTAATTACAAGGAGAAGAATTTGCTCCCAGATTGCCATGAATCATGCCGCACTCCTCGAGATTTATAACAGATGTGTAAGTGGGATGAATTAGCAGGGTTTAATAACAGAGACACAAATCATGCAGACTTCAAGGAGCTTTAATTGATATACTAGAATGTGACGGGCATGAATCACTCAGCCATTCCGCAGCACTGTAACATATGGTCAGCTCAATATGCTGCCACTTAAATCGGTCGGCGAGTCGTTGGTTGTCCCATATGGTGGAAGCAATATATTTTTCATGATTAAAAAAAATGCATCTATTTTTTAAAGAAATATGATTGCAAAGCATGTTTGTTATTGAACAGTTACCTGAATGCCAGACTCTTTTTTTTTTAATGATTCTTTTTTTAAAAAAAACATGGCAACTTCCCAAAATAAATAGCCACGGCGACTGGTAATACCAGGTCGCTGGGGGCACTCAGAGAGCCACATGGGTGCACTTGGCCAAACCTCTAGAAGAGCCGTTGATGAGAGCTGTGGTGTCAGGGAAATCCTTCAGACTTGGGCAAAGCCAACCAATGATAGGAATGATGTCACTCTCGGATAGTT